GAAATGTATAGACAATCTGGACTTTTAAAATTAATTTTGGCATGAACTTTTGCTGTTGATCTAAATTAAAAAAAGCGTTGAGTTTTATTTCTGTGTAATAAGTAATTTTTCTAATGACGATGGATAACTGGCGTAAACTCCCAAAATGAAAAATTGTATAAATTGTCTTATATATTTCGCATTTTGTCAGATTCTCATTCATATTTACCCACCCCCAAAAATAGTAATTATAGATACTGTATAAATATTGAATAATTTTAGTTAATTTTAACTTTCAGTTTTTTTCATATTTATAAAATAATACCTTTCAGCGTCCCAGACATTTTTTATTATTTTGGAGCGCTCGTGATAATTTCAAGGAGTAATGGAAAGATTTGAATTTAAAATTTATATGATTACATGCATAGACACACCCTGCCCACACACACACACACACACACACATATATATATATATATATATATATATATATATATAAAATGTTTGTGCGTGTGTTATTTTTAACTTATTTTATTTAAACTTTATTTTTCATGGATACTCATATTCGAATAGAAGCTATGTCGGATTTAATCCATATATATCCGTGGCGGTGTAATGGTTAGCAAGCTTGTCTCGCTAAAACAGTTACGACTGAGTAGTGAGGTCGATCCTCACTGGGTGCCCCATAGTTTCGGCCTTGTGTCACATCTGAGCTACGCTTGGAAAATCACTATATATATATATATATATATATATATATATATATATATATATATATATATATATATATATATATATGTGTGTGTGTATATAGTTTTAAGTTTATATAGTTTAATTCTATATTTATGGATTAAAGTGCTCAATATCAGGGATAGAGCGTATGTCAATGTAATGTCTACTTCATGCTTACACGCAGTTTTCAGGAAGATTACGTTTACGCAACAAACACTGTCACCGCTGGGTGTTGACTTCAGTGTCCGTTTTTATATATATATATGTGTGTGTGTGTATATATATATATATATATATATTACAGGGCTGTTAACAACATAACTGCTATACTGGTTATCTCTCGACTTTTAACTTTTTTTTCTTGAAAATAACCAACAATGATCGAAAAAAAAACTTGGAACATTACGCACAATTTCGTCAAGTTGCTTTACAAGTTTCCATCTTAGATGAAACGATTTATTCAACACAAGGAGAAACTCTCAAAAACAGCGTAAAGTACATTCCTTGCTCATTTGAATTTTTCATGTTTAGTCAAGTAGTTTTCTGATTACCGCTCTCAAGTAACTACAAGGAATTTCTGGTTTTAGTCATAATATATTTTTGTGTTCGTTCCATGTAGTTTTATTTGTTTACTGAAAATAAAATTAAACTTATTATTTGCGTATTTGAATGTTTTCAAACTTAAATTCATGTTTTAATATTGGCCTTTTAATTTAGTTTTTCAGAATTAAATCTTTTTTTTTTAATTTTCATCCTATAAAAACTGGAAATCACACGCAAACAATCAAGAAAATTAAGAACTAAATGATATATCTATAACGTTTTAAATAGAATGTTTGAGAAACTTACGCTATTAAAATGCTGTGTCAATATTAAAGAGGTGTCAAGTGCACTGACAAGGAAGACATTATGTTGAGAAATAAATATTTATCGCGTAAAATAAATGCTTTTATTAGCATAGGTACTTATTGATGTACCTGTGGTTACATGAGTGTGTACAGCGTTAGTCAAGAGTGTCTACCTACTTTTAGGATATTACTAAATATATGCATTCCCGTTGTTAATTGAGTGTACTGTCAGTGTGTTTGCACGTGTGCAAGTATGCGTCTGCGCATGCTCGCTAAACTACAAACGTGTGTGAGAGTCGAGAGGTTTCAGTGAATGGGTGTGGGCTGACCATCAATGTCTGCCATTGTTGTGGCCCATTTTGTGCAGACCGTCTCCTTGGCAAAGAACCAAGTTGGTCTGGGACACAGGCAAAGTTGATAATCGTTCAGCTTCCCTACTGCTTTCTGCCATTACAAATAATGTGCTGTTCCTGTGTATCAAATTAACTTAGCATACTCACAGCTATCTGTCTTGTTCTTACATATTTATAAGCGAAGCTGCTTTTCTTTTAAAGTCTTTTTTCTTTCTTTCTTTTTTCTTTCTTTCTTTCTTTTTTTCCATCTATCTATCTATCTATCTATCTATCTATCTATCTATCTATCTATCTTTTTTCATTTCTACCTATCTATTTATTTTTTATGTATTTATTTTTCTCTATCTCTCTATCTTTCTATCATTCTTTCTATACATTTTTCTTTCTTTCCAGCTAAAGTTATTTTTCTTTCTTTCCATCTGTCTGTCTTTCTCTATCTTTCTTTCTTTCTAGCTATCTTGCTATCTGTCTATCATTCTATCTTTCTCTTTTTCTATCTATATATCATTCTATATTTCTATCATTCTTTTTATCTTTCTATCTATCTTTCTTTCTATATATGCAGCTATCCATCTTTCTTTTTTTGTATGATTCTTTTCGTCTTTGTTTTCATCTTAATATTTAACTTTCTTCCCTTTTATTTATCCTGCTTTCTATCTTTTTTTTGTCTTTCTTTCTTTTCATTATCTTTGTCTTTCTTTCTATTTAACTTTCTTTCTACCTTTCTATCTTTGTGTCTTTCTTTTTTCTAACTTTCTCTCACAGTCTACGACATTGCATACATTCACCTGCCCATTTAGTCTGTCTACGAACGGAGCGCTGAAAAGTTATCGGCCCCGTTCCATCTGTTTATTTCTTCCATCTCCCTCTGCTTCACTCTCTCTCTCTCATTTATATATATATATATATATATATATATATAATATAATCCCTGTCTCTTCTTCCTACATTTATCTCTTCCATATATATATATATATATATATATATATATATATATAATAATTTTGTGTGCGTGTACACTGAAGTCAACACTGGGTGTTTCATGCTTATAGTCATCTGATTGCGTTCACGTATATGAAGCAGACTGTCGCCATTCGGTGTAGACTTCACTGTCCACTTTTATATGAATACATGCTAGATTCCTGATATTGGGCACTTTTACCACAAATATACCATATATTTTATAATATAAATATGTCAAAGCTTAATCCATTATTTCCTTACAACAAATATATATACATATATATATATATATATATATATATATATATATAAAAAAAAAAGTATATATATATATATATATATATATATATATATATATATATAAATTGAATATTTTACTATTCATTTAGCTCAGTAGAAATTTTTGGAAGGGAAAATAGCATAAAAATTGAAACAACTCCGCATTATTCCTCCTCGGAAATTTCTGATGAAGCCAAATGGCAAAACGTGTTAAATTTACCGGTTCTTTATTTAATCTGTTGGCTTTAGTCCATAATTTCAACTCGTATACAGGGTGCGATGGATAAATTGTCGTCTGGATTACGCAACAACGAAAATAACAATGACATCTCATTTTAACATATATTTACCAAAATTGCAAAAAATATCTTGAAATACTAAAGAGTAAATTTATTCAATAAAATCGCCACTGGATAAAAACCACGTCCCTCAGACGACTTCGGAATCTCCGGCAACTCTTCTGTACGGTTTCCTTCTTTAAGTTGGTCAATGCTGCCAAAAATCCTTGCCTTCAGTTAATCTTTGGTGTTACAAGGAGTTTTGTTGGTCTCTCGCCAGTCTGTGTTTCCCGCATAATAATCAAGGGGGTTGCAGTCTGGGGAGTTGTGGCCAGGTGTAAGGGGTGATGTGGTCGCAGAAATTGTCTGACAGCCCTCTGTTCTCCTGCTTGTGTGGCATGGTGCAGAGTCCTGTTGCCAGGCATAGTGTCTTCCAGCAGCCACCCTCTTGACCCAGAGCATCACTGCCTCCTCAAGGCACTTGATGTAGGTCTGAATTTGGTTGAATCTGAGGCCCTGTGAGAAGATGAATGGAGGCATAACGTCGCCATCACTAGTAATCACCCCAAACACCATGATGTTGACTGGATATGTCATCCAACTCTTTCCGAATCCCCTGCACTGTCCTTAGATTGACACCCAAACACTCTGAAATATTTGTATTGGAGCTTCCAGTGCAAATGGCAAGCAGTACAGCATGACATTTCCAAATTTCTGGCGGAGTGAATTACGTCATTGTGCTCTTTTTCTCAAAACCCGTGCCCAACTGACCCTACTATAATGTGCCGTCGACAAAATCAAATCAAAACAACGCGCATGTACGAAATTAAAAAAGATAAAATGGCAATAATTTATCCATTTTACCCTATATATTTGTTTGTATATATGTATATATACATACATATATATATATATATATATATATATATATATATATATATATATATATATATATATATATATATATATATATAAAAAGGGCTTAAACAAATGTTTAAGCATTTTTAATTTATCCTTACTCTGTCTTTGACATTGAGTTCTACCTGGATAAAAACCACGTCCCTCAGACGACTTCGGAATCTCCGGCAACTCTTCTGTACGGTTTCCTTCTTTAAGTTGGTCAATGCTGCCAAAAACCCTTGCCTTCAGTTAATCTTTGGTGTTACAAGGAGTTTTGTTGGTCTTAAACAATTTAAAAAATATATATGTATGTGTATGCATCGATGTATATATATTTATATATTTTGCATATGTATGTGTATATTTACCTCTAATATTATTTCTCTCTCTCTCTCTCTCTCTCTATATATATATATATATATATATATATATATATATATATATATATATATATATATACCCGTGTTTTTATGCATTCTAGAAAGTCTACAAGACTATCGTTTTTATATCGTTTGTTAAATATGAAGTTATTATCACAAGATTTGAAAACTATAATCTCTGACATTGATGACTCAAGACATTCTGTCAAACAGACGTTATAGTTTTATGTCTACCTTGTGTTTATTTATTTATAATATGAGTAAATAGATTAGAAATCAACGACGTCAATGTCGTCATTATTTCCTTTATTTGCGAAGTTTATTTTCAGTCGAGTTGTTGCTTTCTTACGTAATTAAAACACCGTTCATGACGTTACCGTAAATGCATCCTGTTCTCACTATCGTAATACGGTTTTGTTATGTTTGCCTGAACTTTAACCTTGGCTCTTGGATTTGTTTATTTGAACTAAAATTCAACAAAAAATAATTGTTAGTAGGGGCCGAGACTTGGAACTTAGAAACAGATAATTTTGACTAGTAGATACGAAATATTACACGTGCATTCTGTATCTCTCAAATCATTCTGTGTCTGAGCCAAGGGCAAATCATTTCTGCTCTTTTGGGACATGTGTGTTATCGGATTCTTTATATCTAGAAACATCGTACATATTACAAGAAACTAGTCTTTAGGCAGGAAAAAAATACTCTTTTTGTTTCGAAGTTAATTTTTTTTTTTTTTTTGTATTTCGCGGATCGTTTGCGTTCCGATCTATCCGTCGAGCCATTTCCCTATCGATTTGTCTGTCTAACAATTGATTTGCATCGACATATCAAACGATTTGTCCATTTTCACGTCTGTCTGTAAATGCTACCGATCTGTTAGTCACTGTCTCTTAAGCCTTGGATTACACTCATACGTGCCGACCGTGGAGTGAGTATCTAATTACTTCCATGTTTGTATGAATAATAATTAAAAAAAAGAAAACAGTAACTGAAACTCCCTATTTCGTTTCGCAATGCCTTCCTATAGTAAAAGCGTTTCTAATGAATAATTATATAGTTAAATCGTTCGTCATGCATTCTCTGTGTGAAAATGTTTCCAATGAATATCTGGAATCAAATTGTTTGCGAATCATTCTCGTCGTGAAAATATTTTCACTGAATGTCTATAGTCAAATAATTCGCAATGCATTCCTATAGTAAAAATGTTTGGAATGATTATTTATTGCTAAATAGTTCGCAATGAATTCCCGTTGTGAAAATGTTTCCAATGAACATCTGTAGTTAGATCGTTTGCCATGTATTCCTATAGTAAAAACGTTTCCAATCAATATCTGTATTCAAATCATTAGCAATGCATTCCCGTTATAAAAACGTTTAGAATGATTGTTTATAGTCAAATTGTTTGCAATGCATTTCCGTTGTGAAAAAGTTTCCAATGACTGTAGTCAAATAATTAGCAATGCATTCCTATACTAAACACGATTCCAATGAATATCTGTAGTCAAATGATTCGAAATGAATTACTATAGTACAGTATAACCCGGATATAAGAGACCCGGATATAAGAGAAACCCGGATATAAGAGAGATTTTCTCTGGTCCCAAATTAGAGTCTGTGTTAATGTATATAAAATAGACCAAACCTAGATATAAGAGAAACCCGGATATAAGAGACTTCGTCTCCGGTCCCGACAACTCTCTTATATCCGGGTTATACTGTAAAACGTTTGCGTTAAATAGCCATAGTCAAATCATTGGCAACACATTTTTATCGTCAAATTAAATCCATTTATATGATTTTAATGTTCTACAAACAGATTGTGTCACTACTAAATACACTAAAAAAAAAAAAATCAGAAACTTTAAAAACCGGTTTTGAATGAATCATGTTCTTTATTTTTATTTATTTATTTATTTTTGGTGCCGCCAGAAGCAGTTTGTCAATGTAGACTATTTTGGGCGGATGGAGAATAGTGGAATATTGATAAACTCGGTTGGCAACGAATCTGCTTAGCTGTAAATACAGTCGTCGCCAAAATACAACTGTAATTAATTTTTCATTTCCCCCACCGCTAGCCGCTAGAATTTTCTGTATTACTTCTTCTTACATAGAGACTGATGCGAGCTTGGGGGTAAATTCTTCTCTTAATATAAGAGTTTATGTAAACAGTAATAAAAAAAAGTAAAAAAAAAAAAATCAAAATTTAGTGTAGTTTTCTTTTTTTTATCGGAATTATACTAGTAACTTTTACTAGTGTACTTAAAGCTCAACAATACAAAAATCATGACCTATTCTAGATTTATGACAATCCAGAATAGGTCTTGGTTTTTTTTTTGTATTAGTGAGCTTTTAGTACACTAGTAAAGATACGACCTCTTAATATCGCTGTTTGCGATTGTTTTAAAAGGCAGAAGTAATTTATTTGAGAACGTGCCTTGAAAATCAGCATTCGAAAGTTTTCGCGTTTACCCGAGGGTCCGTGGCGCAACCTCTTACGCTAATCTGACACTTCTCATTTCTGTTTTGTTATCTCCCCACCATATATATATATATATATATATATATATATATATATATATATATATATATATATATATATATATTATTACTTTTTGTATTGTTTAGGCTCTCTCTTTCTCTTGCCTTCTTTCCTTTTGGAGATGATGATTTCCCTCCGACCATAATTTTATTTTTTTCCTCATGTTTATCTTTTTTTTTGTCTTAGCCCACCAAGACACACATTTTTTTCTTTCCTTTATTGATTTTTCTTTTTCCTTTTTTTGTTTTTACTCTTTCGCTTTTTCTTTCCTTTTTTCCATCTTTCCTTTACCCTTTTATTCTTTTCTTTTTTTTTCATTTTTTCTTTGTGTTTCTTCATCTCTTTTCTTTTTTTTTGTCTGTCTGTCTGTCTTTTTTTTGTCTGTTAAATTTCCTCTTTCCTCTTCTCCATCATCCCTTTCTCTCACTTCTTTTTTCATTTTTTTCTTTTCTTTTTCCAGTCTTTCCTATATTCTTCTTTTAATCTTTCTTTTTTCCCTCTTTTCCTTCCAATTTTTTATTTTTTTATTTTTTTGCTCCATAATTCTTTTTCTTCTCTTCCTCTTTTTCAAACCACCTGTTTGTTTGCAAACTATAAAGTTCTGCTAAAAATAGGACGTTCAAATGAATTTGTCTTCATTGTTTTACTCCTGGAGATTCATATTCAAATGCCCCCACCTCATATGCAAAACTAAAGCCTGTGCGTCAAACTATCACCAGCTCTTTTATATGAAATCGTTTTTGTTTATTTACTCTTAAAGGTCGTGATTTCTCATTTACTTGATTTTTCTGTTGGTTTTGCTTAACGTACGTGGGGATCTTAGTATTTCTGGATGACTGTATTTTCAACTGTTTTTGTCTTTGTCCGATTCAGTAGATACCAAATGGATAACAAATTTAGTATAGGAGAAAAGCAAATTGAACATAGAATAGACTGCACTCGAGGTAATTTCACCCAACACCACAAATTATTTCAAAAACAAAACATTAACCTGAAAACTACATGTTCTTCAATAGCCTAGTCAAATCGTTCATATGGGTATTATGCATGGACCAAAACCCGCTCAGAAGTATCTAAATTGTCCGCTATATACAACCGCTTTCTAAGATCAATTTGAAAAAAAAATACTTTGAGTGATTAAAGACTGAGGGTCTTGGCAAAGACCAACCTTCTTTGAACATTATGGACTGGCGCTACATATTCACAAAGAACTGTACCGAATAACAGAAACCACATCACTTGATGATCCCCAACAGCAGCAACAACAACAATTAATGAATACCAGATGTTTCCTTATAGAGAAACGGTTAATATTATCCTCATGGTGAAATGGTTAATATTATCCTTATAGGGAAACGGTTAATATTACCATTATCCTTTTAGGGGAAAAGGTTAATGTTACCAATATCTTTATAGGAAAGCGGTTAATATTGCCATTATAGGGAAATGGTTAATATTACCATTATCCTTATAGGGAAACGGTTAATATTATCATTTATGGAAACAGTTAATATCCCCATTATAGGGAAACGGTTAATATTACCATTATCCTTATAGGGGAAAAGGTTAACATTACCAATATCCTTATAGGAAAGCGGTTAATATTACCATTACGGTTAATATTACCATTATCCTTATAGGGGAAAAGGTTAACATTACCAATATCCTTATAGGAAAGCGGTTAATATTACCATTACAGGGAAATGATTAATATTGCCATGATAGGGAAACGGTTAATATTATCATTATCCTTATAGGGGAAAAGGTTAATATTACCAATATCCTTATAGGAAATCGGTTAATATTACCATTACAGGATTAATATTACCAAAATGAGCGGTTAATATTGCCATTATAGGGAAACAGTTAATATTATCATTATCCTTATAGGGAAAAGGTTAATATTACCAATATCCTTATAGGAAATTAATATTACCATTACAGGGAAAATTGTCTGAAATGATTAAATATATGGTTACCAATATCATATGGAAAGCGGTTAATATTACCATTACAGGGAAATGATTAATATTGCCATTATAGGGAAACGGTTAATATTATCATTATCCTTATAGGGGAAAAGGTTAATATTACCAATATCCTTATAGGAAAGCGGTTAATATTACCATTACAGGGAAATGATTAATATTGCCATGATAGGGAAACGGTTAATATTACCATTATCAAAGTGTTTTCATTCCATCGACACCCGCATGTCATTATCCTGTGTGCCTAATTTGTCGTGTTCAGTTGGCGAGATTAGACAAAAGGTTTTGTATGTGGTGTATCCGTAAAATACATCTCTCTGTAAATATTTAATGCCATGTTCCTTTTAGGACGTAATCAATCATGGCTCTTCTTTGATTTCGTTTCTTTATTAACTACGAACTGCAATAATTTCTTTGGAATGACAGTGAAGTGTTTTCTCGTTGCCTTTTGCGCGGTACTGAATTCAGAGTTGTCATTCTCGTAGATTGGCTCTACCAAAGTCTAGAGGGCCCAGTCTCCCCTGATATTTAACCTATAGCTGGAAGAATTAGGAACGGACACTTGTCTTTTCCGAAGACGAAAGGGGACGCAACGGACTATGCCGGAATTTGAACTTGTCGACTCCCACTTCCAGGATGATGATGATGATGATGGTTACAATTCTCGCCTAATGTAGGTGTTCTTAAGCATATTAAGAATATTATCGCTTTTCTAAACTGTGTTCACGTACACTTCAGAAGAATATGCTATAAAATTAATGAATAGAATCAGGGCCGGTGCGTACTACTCCCGAACACCCGACCAGGGGTGGGAAGACCTGATTAGGGACTCCGGGCAGTGCTTTATTATGTTCGCTATGTTACTAACATATACTTTTTTTCTACTTACATTTATATACGTTACAATTTAAGCACATCTGACTGTTGAAGAAAAAAAAATATTTTGAGAATTTTGATGTCATTCTGGGGTCTATTTTGTCCAAATCCGTGAATTTGTTTTGCTTATGTTAAGTCTCAAGAAAAAAATAATAAAAACTATATAAAATTCACTATTTTTTTATTCATAATATTGAATAAAAAAAATAATATTTAACAAGAAAAATCGCAAGTTGATGTTAAAAATTGCGCGAAAACATTGTTGATTTATTTAAGATGGAATGTTCTGTTATGATACGTCTGTAATTTTGTTATGGTGAAACACACCTATTCTATAGTTAATAGTAGCTCCCACCTAATATAAATAAGAGTAGTAAGAGAAACGACGGTCGGTCGATGTCGGACGACAGTCGAACTCCCTGCCTTTGGGCAGAGAGGAACCCGGACGAAGCTATGTCGAAGGGCAGAGTTTCGTCCGGGGAGGTAGACAGACCCGACCCCGTTTATGCGGGGTCTACGGGGATTTTTTTTGCCGAGCCTACAGGCTCGGGAACCCCACATTAAATTCGACCTTGTGCCACATGTGACTGCGTGGGGCAGTTTCTAAATAGCGTCGATGTCGGACGACATTTAGTCGAATACGAAAGTAGTCAACGACCACAACAAGATTACTCTGCGTAATACCTATTATATCAAGTTCCTAACGTTTTGTACGTCGAACCTATTTTAGGGCCGACTTAGTACAAATACAAGCCTCCATTGTGAAATAACTCCACAACAAATTTATATTTAGATACATTGTATGTATTTTCAATTTTAGTTGAATTGTTCACTTATAATGCATTATTTTACATAATTAGGTTACAATAAAATTTTTAATTTAAATGAAGACTACCTTATGAAAATTGAGATATAGTAGAGTGGGGCCACGTATCATAGATTCTGGGTAGGGGGTGCTGTATCATAGGTTTTTCGGGGGGGGTATGGGACCTTTGCACCAGCCCTGTGCATAGGCATATATTGAAAATCTGGCAAAAAGTCACATTTAGTGAGTAGATTGTTCTCGTTCCACATGCCATGCCCTTTTCTGGATATCTCAGTTTCAGTTATTCCCCTTTGGTAACCATCTACCCCAGTGGACTAAATAAAAGGTTCGGTTCGAAATTCCAACGTAGATCACCTGAAGAAGACAGGAGCGTATAACGGCTGAAACAATGTGAATATGACAATAAAAATGAGGACAACAGTCCGAACAATAGTGTAAATAGTTACAATATCTTATCTCAGAAATATAGACAGATATCTATAGCACTACGACTTATTTATAAGTATGGCTGAAGAATAAAACATTCTTCATTGATTCCCTTTAAAACTCTTCCAAACCAGTCAAACGAGTTTAATAAATTATTCTGCAACTTTGAAATACGTTGTTTTTTTTTGTTTTTTTTTAGTTGTGTTGTCGATCGGCCTCATAAGTGTAGACTTTACCTTTCATAACTAAAGCGGACAAGGCGCTGTATAATGCAATAAATTTATCACTGGGCTTCTAACGCGTTGCAACATTTGGTTGTGTGTCTGTATTTCTTTGTTTACGGCCTGCTGCCGGCAGATGTTAAAGATATATCTACTAAACGAATGACCCCTCCAGTTCCCCGAAAAGGTCCTAAGCGTTCGCCAGTCATTTTTGACTGCAGCTGGGTGGTCTTCAAATCCCACTGGATTATCGTTACAGAAAGGTAATTTTAATGGATTTATATGTTGTGAAGGGCACACAGCGAGGCGGTGTAATGGTTAGCAAGCTACGCTTGAAAAGTCACTATTTGGGCACCTTGGCGTGGTGTAATAATTAGCAAGCTTGTCTCGCTATAACAATTGCGACTGGGTAGTGAGTTCGATCCTCACCGGGTACCCCATACTTTCGGCCTTGTACCGCATCTAAGCTACGCTTGGAAAATCACTATTTGGGCACCTTGGCATGGTGTAATAATTAGCAAGCTTGTCTCGCTCAATTGCTACTGGGTAGTGAGTTCGATCCTCACCGGGTGCCCCATACTTTCGGCCTTGTGCCACATCTAAGCTACGTTTGGAAAATCACTATATGTTGTGAACTTTCAGGAGTAATTACTTGTATTTTTTTTAACGTTACTTAGACAGCTCCTATACAAAGAAGAAGTTAAATTAAAATTATGGGGCAAAAAGAATAGGTATTAATCTTAGTATGCTCTGGGGATCCGTAATCCTAGAGAGAACCTCCCCATAATAGCTACTCCCGTTTTACATGTTCAAGAAGAGTGTTTTGTTTTTATTTCTTTTTAGTGCGTTTATGATAAAAATTTTGATAATTCGGACTATTGTCCTCGTCTTTGTCGCCATATTTGTCACAAAGTTTCAGCCGTTGTACGCTCCGGCCTTCTTCAGGTGGTTGGAATGTCGAACTGAATCCTTTATTTCGCTCACTGGGGTAGACTGTTCTAGTTCCACGTGCCATGTTTGATGGATGTCAGTTATGAGTTATCTCCTGTTAATTTCCCTCTCGAAGTTCTCCGCCGCCTTAACCAGGTATTGAACTCACAACTCTTTGGGTCCTGTCACTGGATCTAACTAACGCCTTTATCCACTGTGTTTTATCCGTTGGGATAAATATGGCGACAAAGATGAGGACAATAGTCCGAATAATGAAAATAGTGTACATAATACCTCATCTCAGAAATATAGACAGATACTGAACGACTTT